TTGCCATGTTGCTGTGCTGGCATCGTTCATTTAATCAGGTATAACTCCCAATTGCCAAGTCCCTTCCTGTGAAAATATTCTGGGATGATAAACCCATATCACTACACTTTACTAAAAAGAAACTTTTCCACATCCTATACTCAGCCTTTAAACATGGTGGGATTTTGGGCATAGCTGAATTATATCTCAAGAAAACAGTCATTTAACAACATCGATCGGCGTAATCTCGCTTGTGCTTGTTAGAGATTCAAGAAGGAAATATAATTAGTCTCGGGCTGCAGCAGCTGACCAGCACCGATCGTCCGGCACTCCCCAGTGAGATGAACCCAGTACCTCAGTTGAAAATGCAGAAATCACCGGTCTTTTGTGTCGCTCGCGCTGGGAGTTGGAGACTGGAGCTGTTCCTATTCGGCCATCTTGCTCCGCCCCCTATAAGCAACTCTTAACTTTTCCCTACTTTTCCCTCACCAAGGCCAGGTCCTTCCATCTACATTCTACCCCTTCTTCACTGGGCAGCACATGTTACCCTAATACGATTTCCTTTTCAAGGCTACCCTCAATGTTCATTTTAATTAGATTTCGCTTACAGAAAACATTTTTCTGACTTTAAAAAAACAAAAAACGAAAAAATCAACAAGCAATTTTGTGGTCAAGCTATGCAGTGTGATCTCCTCTAATCCAGAAGCCCCTTCCCTTTATTTCAATGGACCTCTGTAGGATGGTATTTAACAAAGGCGTTAGCAACAATGAAACAACATTCCCTGAACCTGACTGTATGATGCCCTGTTTTATATAAACTATGCAATTACTGCCAGTATGATCCATAGGGATGCATTACTGCCAGTATGATCCATAGGGGTGAATTAAGTTAGCATCGGTAATAGGTGCCAGCACTATCTGGCCACTAATGAAATGAGCATTTCGTTAACAGCTATTATTCAAATAACAGAAGGTAGTAGCTTCAGAGAGAAGAGCACACTGTTCTGCGGGTACACTGGGCTGAGCCAGGGGATCTCACCAGCCTCGGTGCAACCGAGAGCCCATTTACTTACTGCAAATGTCAAGAGGAGGAACTTGTTGAGGAGTACAGGATTTTCAAGAGCAGCGCCTGATTTTATGGATTCCCATATCTGCCAAAAGAAGAAAAGCGTCAAGGCAGGTTACCAGGCATCTCTGAGCTTCTCACTCCCAGGCGAAGTGTGGAGCTGAAAAGCACCAGGTTCTTCTTTCCTGCAGGCCCAGCACCACTTATCCCATACAATGAAGTGGGTTGTTACCTCACTCTGCCCACTTCACACTGCCTCTCTCCCAGCCACACTCCCTTCAACATCTAAGCCAAGTGAGGGAGCCCAGGCGCCTCCTCTCAGCAGATCTCAGCACAGAGGAGGCAACCAGGCCATTTTCATGTCTTCACAATCTCCTTCAGCAAATATTTATTTATTGTCTACTATATACCAGGCACATCAGGGTTACAGAAATAAAAGACACGGTCATTCCCTACCCTCAAGACACTCGCAGTCTAGAGAGAGAGACCGGCATAAATGTATAACTTCACCGCCATGTAGGATTTGCTGTCACAGAAGTGGGTAGAATTTATGGGAGGAATTCTCTGCAGACTCAGCTGGGGAACTGGGAGGGTGAAGAGCCTGGGAGGGGCTCTCAAAGGAAGTACTGTAAAATACACATAGGGGTTTCTTGAAGCCTTGTTTGAGATTATCTTGCCCTGAGAGATGAAGAAAGAAGAGCAAACTTCATATTTATGTATACTCAGCAAGTACTGAAACTAGGAGCAAACACTGGTGCTGGTCAGCAGCTGTGGATCACAAGATGTTTTTGTAGCTAAGATTCGTAGCTAAACTTGGTGTTACTAAGCAAGACCAAACAGTTGCACTAATAAGAATCATTCCCTAAGTATGGGTGGAAGAGGGAAATAAGTAAGCAGAAGTAAGTTCCTGCTACTGACATACTGGCCTTGGAGGAGCTGGACCACTGAAGAGAGGCTCCCAATTTCTGGTAAGCCGAAGGAGCATGGGGCAGGAGCTGCCAGGAGAATTCTGGGCCCCAGTTGAGGGGTGGGATATTCCTGTGGGGGTGGGGAACCTGCTTTTTTCCAAGATGATGAAGGCCTGACCCAACTCTTTGGAGACTCCCTTTTAAATGTGCAGCCAAAGCAGGAGGCCCAGGAGCAGCCAAGCCACAGGTCAAGAAAAACAACCATCCTCTCCTGAGTCACAGCTGCAACCATCCCAAGGGATGTGAGGGAAGCCTGCCTCAGGACCTGACCACTGCACCCACACCAACAAGATTCATGTCGTAATCAAGACTGGTATAAAGACTCCTTGATTAAAGCAGTTAGACAGGACTGGGATAAACTGCCCCCGCCTCCCATTTTAATTCCTCTCACTAACTCCAATGTAAAGGAAGCAAAGGAAAGACACTCCAGGCAGAGAAGATATTGTGTTCCCAAGGAGAGAGGACAGAACAGAAAGTAGGTGGAGGGAATTACATGTGATTTGCTATGACAGACTCAGAGAATGCAAGGGCAAGAGTGAGAGCTTAGAAAGGACAAGAGAAAAACATGGCCAGGCCACAGAGGCCTTGAAAATCAGATGCAGTAGATTAGATAAGTGAAGACACTGGAGAGACTACGTGATAATCTCCTCTACCGCATGGTGCACAGGATTGACAAGCCTCTCCAAGGCACAATAAACAGAGTGCCCAGAGGCATTCAGCCACAGGAACACAACTCTCCGAGGTCTGGCTGCTTCCAAATGCTGGCAGGAGATGAGCAGCAAACTGATGACTTAACCTCTGCCCTGCCATGTTATTTCCGGCCTATCCCAGGTGAGAGCCTGGATGTCCTCTCCCTGACCTTCCTGCCAATACAGAAGGAGACAGCTGGAGTATTCTCTCTTGGGAAATACGCCCAAGCCCACAAGTGTCTTTAAGTTCCTATCATATGCCAGTTTCTGCAGCAGACCCATGTGCCTGATCACAAACACTGCACCTGCCAGGACCACAGGAAATATGACACATACATCACGTTTTCCCAGCTAACCTCATTTGCTGCTTGTTCCAAAAGGAGCTTCTTATCTGCAGTCTTGAAAGACTCGAGTGTGTTGGTGTTATACAGTGTTCCAACAGCTGGGCAGCAGCGGGCTGGGGTGGGAGCACTCCTAGATACAAGAGAAACACGGTTAGCTAGGCACAGCTGGGACTCAGAGAGCCAGAGAGAGACAAGTCAACCACCACTGTAGTGGGAGAAAAAGGGTATTGCTCTGTAGGGCAAACAGAAGATTAACTGTATGTTTTCTTGGAAAAGATGAGTATCATCACTCAAGAACTAAAAAACAGGCAACTGTACAGGGAAAACCCATATATTCCCTGTACTCTAACCTATCAGGATGCTGTTTTTCCACTGTCCCCCAAAGAGAAGTTCATTTCCTTTTTTTTCTTCTTTCCATCTTTAACCTGAGGGAAATATTGTTTGTTGAGCCAGGAACTGTGCACAGTTTGAATTCTTGTAACAGCTCTTTTCCCCATTTAAAGGTTTAAGCAACTTGCCTAAGGTCACATAATAGGCAGAGCTTGAATCTAAAACCAGAACTAGCTGAGCCCAAGGTACTGTGCTGTGCCTACGCCACCTCTCAGACCCTCCCAGGCTTCAAGGTCCTGCTCTAATCTCTCGTCTTCTGGAAAGCTATCTCCACTTTCTCTGCTAAGAGTTGGCACATAAAACTCAGCATAATATTTTTGAGCATTTTCAAGAACTACAGTCATACCCACCCAGCTGGAGGACAGTAAGCTCCCTGAGGATAGAAAGTACGTGTTCTCCTAACTGTCCCACAACCTAGCCTGCCCCAAACAGGGCTCTGCACAAAACTGCTGCTGGGCAAGCCCCTGATGGTTGTCTGAGTCTCACAGACAAAATGTCTCACACCTGGGCTACCTATCAATCTGTCATGCCACCAGGTTCACACACTCTACATTGCCCCCAAAGGCCTCACAGTCCTCAGAGTAAGCAAAGTCAGGAGAAGAGAAGAGGAGTTGATTCTGAATATGAATTCAGATGTGGACAAATCTGGTCTCTTCTCTGAAATGATTAACTTGCATTTCAGAGTTTACAAATGTTAAATGAAAATATTCATTTCATTAGTAGCCTACTATTGTCACAGTTAATGCAGACAGAATGCCTTTTTACTGACTGCACTGATGATAGCTGCATAGTTTAAAAGAACCTGTGTCTTTTCATTTAGAGTCCATGTAAAATTGGGTTTATGGGGCTGAAGTAGAAATCTAAACCTAGAACAGGTATGAAGGGGTACAATTAATGACATGACTCTGTCAAATGCCATCTATCAGGCTCAAACACCAAGTCCTCAGGGAAAGCTAGCTTTCAATGGCCACAGCCTTCTCTTGGAAGCTATGAGTCAGCAAATCACAAGTTGTTTGTCACCATGCTCCTCCAATAAAAGAATATTTTTCATCCAGGTGAGATGAGGACACCCAAGCTGGTCTTGAAGAGAGAGAAATCACAAAGGGAAAAGATTAAGCCCAGAGGAAAGGCAAAGAAAGCAGAGCAGTTGGTAAACTAGGCCTTCTACATTCAGACTTGGCTTTATGAAATTACTGCTGAAACAGGATGTGGAAACAGAAGCAAGCATGCTATGATCTAATTTGGACACAAGTACAGAGGAGGAAGGTGCCCTTCTTCCCAAACTTCCCAGGTGTGTAAGAGCCATACCAAAGCCTCACTCTGTGGAAGGAGAAAACTACATACCAAGAGCTCAAGCAACTGCAAGATGGCTAGGCTCCTAGTAGCATCAGCACTTATGCAAGTTAATCAGCCAGGACAATCGGGAGCTTCAGAGAGGCATCTTTCATGACTAAAGTTCTACCATGAGAGGTGGCAGGAAAATGAATTTAAAAAGTGATAATGAGAGAGAAGGAGCCTGAAACTTGGAGATAAGAGAATTTAGTTCAAATCTTGGTTCTGACCCTTACTAGTTTAGTTTCTTATGGTTCCATTTACATGAAATATGCAGAATAGGCAAATCCTCAGAGACAGAAAGTAAAGTTATGGTTGGCTAGGGCTGGTGACTATGCAGGAGCGGGGATGGGGAGTAACTGCTAAGGGTGTCTTTTCTGGGAGATGCAAATGTTCTGGAATTAGTCGTGATGGTTGCACAACTCTATGAATCTACTAAAAACCACTGAATTGTACAGTTTAAAGGGGTGAATTTTATGGTATATGAATTATATCTCAACATAGCTGCTAAAAAGAATCCGAATTAGAAATTTTCTCCACATACTAAGGCCAACAGTGAACTTGCAATAAGGCATATACTAACCTAGTAAAAATGGATCTCACAAAGGCCGGAAGACTGGACCTGCTTTGGGGACATCACAGCTAGACACTTGGCCTTCACTTCATTCAGTCTCGCAGTGGTGACTCGGGAAAGTGCTGGGGCTGTGTTGCACCAGTTATTTACACTTGGCCAACAGGCAGGCAGGTGGCAGAACGGAATAAATCCTCTGGAAGAGCACCTGTGCTCTTCATACCTGGAGGAATCTACTTCACACACAGCTTCACATGCCCACAGGGAATGTTTGGAACCCAGAAAGCCACAGTCAGTTTGGGGTCATGCTTCTTTGTCGTCTCCTGACTTCCCTAGCGATCGCAGAGTTTCTGTTTGTAACATCCTCTAACACAGTCCACTAGTGTCTTTCTATGAACCACACCACATATCCTTTTGACAGCCATGCGCTTAGACCGATTGTAATTCAATTAGACAGTTGTTGAGCAAATAGTGCACCCCAGATCTGTGTTGGGTGCTGGTGATACAGCAGAGAATGAGAAAGACACAGTCTGTGCCCCACACATATGAGTGTGCGTAAGACTCCTACTTCCTTCACTACCTTTTCAGTTCTTTGAGGGCAAGAATTATGCCTTCTATTTCTCTAATTAGGTCCAACTTGAGGTTTAGAAAAGAAAAATATATTTTTTTCTTTTTTTATTTATCTTTTTTTTTTTTGAGACGGAGTCTCACTCTGTCGCCCAGGCTGGAGTGCAGTGGCGCAATCTCAGCTCACTGAAAGCTCCGCATCCTGGGTTCACGCCTTTCTTCTGCCTCAGTCTCCCAAGTAGCTGGGACTGCCGGCGCCCGCCACCATGCCCGGCTAATTTTTTTTTGTATTTTTAGTAGTGACGGGGTTTCACCGTGTTAACCAGGATGGTCTCGATCTCCTGACCTTGTGATCCGCCCACCTCGGCCTCCCAAAGTGCTGGGATTACAGGCGTGAGCCACCGCACCCAGTGGAACATTCTTTATCAGCTTCACATTGGTATAGAGATTGTCAATCAAAATCTATTTTCCTCCTTGTCAATAGAAATAGAAAGCACACATAACGTTTTAGCTGGGTTCCATGCTTCCCAGTCTTCTTTGCTAGACAGGTAAGGCCACGAGTTCTCCTCAGTAGAATCTGAGTGGAGTGATGCATCTCCCTTCCCGCCAGGGCCTTTAAAAGACCAGGTATGTCTCTTCCACCTTTTTGCACCTTGGCTGTCTTTCCTCATTAATCTGTTGTTACCTGAAAGTGACAATTGTCTTAATCAGCACACAAATGCAAAGTCCTCAGGGATAATGGAGCCACAACATGGAAGAAGACTGGACCAGCCCTGGCCTATTCTATGAGCAAGAAATGAACTTCCTTTGTGTTTGGACCCTTACATTTTTGTGTCTGATTAAGCAGGATACCCTAACTCAAGACAGCATCCTCCAGTTTAAGACAGTTGGTGCCTGATAAAATACTACTCGACTGACAATTCATCTAATACAATTCAGAGAACAGGATCCTTGTGCTGCTGCCTGCAGAGATCCATAAGACTCCTAGGGGCACAGAGTAGAAGGGATTTATCCAGTGCTATGCAAAGCTGAGATACTCTTGACATCTACAAGTGAGTACTGGGATTGTCAGCTATTCAACTGTATGTCATTCCTGTCTGTATGCCCAGCACCTAGCACATTTTATTATCAAGACACAGAGGAAGCAATCAATAAGTTTTCCTGAAATAATGATTACCTCTCCATGCTTATTACAGCACTGAGCACACTACAATGCAAATATTTGCCTTTTACTTCTCTCTCTCATATAGTAGAGGAGCTCTGGAGAACATATTTCATAAGTCTTTGTATTCCTAACACCTACACATCTGCACATTGTAGATATTCCTTCTTTGATAAAAAAATTCATAAAGACTTTCTCTACCAACCCATGCAGATACACAGCAATCAAAACAAAGATGGGGTAATAATAAAGGAAATAATTTGGAATAAAGAAATCAGGCCTTCTGAGAAGTCCTAAGCATTTTCACTAAACTTCCCAGCCATCCTAATAGGGACTCAGAAAGTGACAGACTTTTAAAACTGGAGAGAACATTAGAAAGCAAGAATCCATTTTAAAGATGAGGAAACAAAAGCTGAGAAAACTAAAAGGGCTTATTGAAGTAGCACAGTTAATTAGCCATAGACTCCAAATCTTCAAACTTCAAATTCAGGGCTATTTTCACACAATGGGGACTCTATCTTATTTCCACTCACCTCCCACTGTCTACCACAGTGCCTCGCACACTGAGGGTATTCAATGGTTAAAGAAAAAATATGATGAGTGAAAATGAGCTATCTGTGTGAAAGTTATAGCTTGCAGGATCACAGATTTTCTTATCTCCTTTAACCAAAAGTTTTAGATTAATGAAGTTTAAGATGTTTACATTTTGTAATAAGTTCAAACTTAACTTCTGTGAACTGTGTTTTTCTAATTAATTGTTCTAAAGAATAAAATCATTAAAACCTTATAAAACAAACAAAACTGCAGTCCAGTAGAAGGATAAGGATAGGAGGTTAGTCTGAGATAAATATGAGGCTCTCCAGATTATACAAAACAGACTACTAATGCTCCCCCGTACCATCTTCAGACAACTTAATGCTTGTACATTTCCAATATTTTCCTCGTTATATCTTAATGGCTCCAAAATAAGTTAGTTTGCCGAAACAAGAGAGAGATTATTAGGATTTTATTTCTTTTGACAGGTAACCACAAGGAATTTACAATGGAGCAAGAAAGCTCCAAAGGGAACGAGAAACACCAACACATACATTTTTAAAGATACAAATACTAACCTCATTGTGGATGTACGTCATACTTTCAAATTTTGCAACTGAATTGAGATAAAGGGGGAAAAAAAGTATTGATTTTCTGAGATTAAAAAAAATTCTAGGGACACTTTATTTTAAATATCCTAATATTTGACTATTGCCACTTTCAAAAGCCAGAAAGACCTTATAAAGACTTCTTCACCTTCCTAAAATTCCCCATCTTGATATTGCTGAGGTACAATAAGGCAGAAAAACCACTGTAGCCTTTTTCAATTCTCAATAATCTTAAAGGCCCTCATCATGGTTTCAGCTCCACCCTCTTTCTCAAACTGAATTCTCAAGGATCGCAATGACTTAATCAATAAACACAACAGCCCTCGCATTAACCCCTGTGCTTCTGACACTGTTAGTTTCTCTCTCCCTCCAGAAAGCATTTCCTTCTTTGGTTTCTGTAACACTTTTCTGGTTTTCCTCTGACAACCCCTGTGTCCTTCGCTAGATCTGTATCATCTTTCGCCTCCCTAATCAGAGCCATTCACTGTTTGCACCTTTTGTTCTTTTTTTTTTTTTTTTTTTTGGAGACGGAGTCTCGCTCTGTCGCCCAGGCTGGAGTGCAGTGGCTGGATCTCAGCTCACTGCAAGCTCCGCCTCCCAGGTTTACGCCATTCTCCTGCCTCAGCCTCCCGAGTAGCTGGGACTACAGGCGCCCGCCACCTCGCCCGGCTAGTTTTTTTTTTGTATTTTTTAGTAGAGACGGGGTTTCGCCGTGTTAGCCAGGATGGTCTCGATCTCCTGACCTTGTGATCCGCCCGTCTCGGCCTCCCAAAGTGCTGGGATTACAGGCTTGAGCCACCGCGCCCGGCCTTGTTCTTATACTATACAGATCCTCCTTGACTTACCATGTCCTGATAAACTCACCATAAATTGAAAAAAAATCATAAATAAAAACTCTATTTAATACGCCTAACCTGCCAGACATAGCTTAGTCTAGCCTCTCTTAAACGTGCCCAGAACACTTACATTAGCCTACAGCTGGGCAAAATCATCTTAACACAAAGACTGTTTCATAATAAAGTGTTGAATATCTCAGGTAATTTATTGAATACTGTACTGAAAGTGAAAAAACAGAATAGCTGTATGGGTCCACAAAGTATAATTTCCACTGAATGTGTATCGCTTTCTCACCATCATAAAGTCAAAAAGTCATTAAACCACCATAAGTTGGAGACTATCTTTATTCTCTTTCTCCTCTACCTGGATGTCTCCCAAATCTAGTCTGATCCTCTCTCCCCAACTCCAGTTCCTCCTGGACATTTCTAGTAGATACTGTCGTCTCAAACTCAACATATTCTAAACCAAACTTGTCTCCTCCTAAATTTGTATCCCCCTCCTGGTTTCTCTATTCCTGTAGAAGATAGCAAAATCCCTGTAGCTACTCATACTGGGTTTCAGAAATACATTTGTAAATACATTTTTTTCTCTCGCCCCTGCTTTCTAAATTTGGCTAGGTGTGACCCTGGGCAAGCCATTTTTACCATTCGTCCCATGGTTTCCTCATCTGAAAAAGAGAAAAATCACACCTGGCAAGTCTGAAAGAACAGATGTTTATGAAACTGCCTAATTAAGTGCTCAATAAATGTGTCTCTTGGCTGGGTGTGGTGGCTCGATCCTGTAATCCCAGCACTTTCAGAGGCCAAGGCAGGCAGATCACTTGAAGTCAGGAGTTCGAGATCAGCCTGGCAAATATGGTGAAACACTGTCTCTACCAAAAAAAAAAAAAAATTAGCCAGGCGTGATGGCACGTGCTTGTAATCCCAGCTGCTTGGGAGGGTTGAGGCACAAGAATAGCTTGAACTCAGAAGGCAGAGGTTGCAGTGGGCTGAGATTGTGCCACTGCATTCCAGCCTGGGTGACAGAGTGAGACCCTGTCTCAAAAAAAAAAAAAAAAAAGTGTCTCTTCTCTCCAGCAACTCCCCATAGCTCCCAAGCAGATAAAAAAAATTCTTCAAGGATATATCTATCATATTCCTTTACATAGCACTATAATGCCTTGCACAGTGGCTTGTATACAGAAGTAGCCTAATAAACATTCATTGATCAATGCCCATAGACAAGCAACTAAAGGAGTGAATCGAGAGAGGTATCAAGAAAAGATCACAAAATATTAACTACAATCAAAATCAAGAGGGATATTATCTATGTCTCAATCAATCTAGAAGGCATCTGGCACCAAATTGGCTCTGATATACGTGGTGAAAAATGAACCAGACAGACCTAAGCATCTAGCATTCACCTCTATGGGAGGTATAAAAGAATCACAAGGGGGCTGACTCTGCTCACCGGGAGCTTCCCTAGTCCTCCTGTGGTCCACATACGAGGGAGGTAAGCATGCTCATTCCTTGCCAAAAGTAGTGTTCTTTACTTCAGATTTTGAACAAATAAATACTCACATGTCAAAAGCACTGAACTCCAATGTTAAGCGAGCTGGCAGCCCAGCAGAGTCACCTGGACAGAAGCATTATCACATTTTCAATGACAAGTCAGAAATAGCAGCATTCATAACAAAAATGCTTATGAATAGTTTTCTTCTCTTTGTTGAGCCCAAGGCGCCCCATCCAATTTCTGATTATCTATGCTACATAGATAATATATGTATGGATAGATAATAGCAGAATGTGACAGAGCTCTTGTGAATATGAGACATTTGCCAAGAATATAAAAAAGATTCAATGGAAAAAAATATTTCCAATCTCTTCCCCCAGCAATGCTAAGTAATGGGTATTATTTGGATTAATAATTTGAGTTTCACTACTCTCTTTCTTTTTCCCCACAACAAGAGAAAATAAATGAAAATGAACTGAGATCAAAAAGTCAGGAAGTAAAATAGAAACTAGTGAAGAGCACTGATTACAAAAGACAAGGCTGTCTCTTTCTAAAGGAAAGCTGACACTATACTGGAGGACAGAGAGGATAACAGAAGACAATGGAAAATGAAATTTACAATCACCTACCATTGTAGTAATAACCCTTAATGTCCTTGGGAGCTTCATCCAGCCGATACTCATTCAGCTTCTTCTGGGTCAACTCATGCCAGAACCCAACATCCAAGGCACTGCTAAAGGGGGCAAACTGCAGTTTAGAGAGTCCAGGATCCCCCGTAGCTGCTGCCATTATTTCTTGCCTACTAAAAAACAAAACAGAACACAGCAAAATAACATATCCATGCAAAACCTGATGAGAGAGAACACTTGTAATAAAGCTTAATTCAAACAAACAAAAAGTAATGAGATGTTTACAGGCTACCTTAAGACACAACTTCTTTTTGGATTGTGGTAAGAAACACATAACATATACTTTACCATCTTCATTATTTTGAAGTGCACAGTTGGGTGGTATTAAGTATCATCACAATGTTGTAAAACAGATCTCCAGAACTTTTTCCTCTTGCAAAACTGGAACTCTATACTCTTTAAACAATAACTCCCCATTTCCTTTCTCCCAGGACCTTGTACCCACCATTCTACTTTCTGTCTATACGGGTCTGACTACTTCATGTAAATGGAATCATACAGTATTTGTGTTTTTAGGACTGGCTTATTTCACCTAAGACACAACTTTGAAAACCATCCTAATTGGCCTGTGTTGTCAAGCCGATTCTCCTCACGACAGTGATTTTTCTTTTTCTTTTTTTTTTTTTAATTGAGATGGAGTCTCGCTCTGTAACCCAGGCTCGAGTGCAGTGGCGCGATCTCGGCTCACTACAACCTCCGCCTCCCGGGTTCAAACAATTCTCCTGCCTCAGCCTCCCAAGCAGCTGGGACTACAGGCGCATGCCACCAGGCCCAGCTAATTTTTGTATTTTTGGTAGAGACGGGGTTTCACCGATGACACAGTGATTCTTCTAAGTAATCCTTTGTGGCCTTAATGTTTATGCTTCTTTCTTCCTTGAGTCAGTCTGACTGATGATGCACTACTGTTATTCCTTCTTCGACACAGACACTGTCTCAGAAGATTTTGCCATCTTGTGTGGTCCTGGAGAACTCTGCAAGTACAAAATCTTACATCCCGCTACTCAGAAATACAACAACCCAAACTGTCAGAATTCTGTCTGTATGAGAGCAGTGCTTTAACTCCTCTAGCTGAGGCAGATAATGAGGATACATTTCTCCCCACCTCCCACAGTACCTAAATTTCTTTGAAATCTCATATTTTATCTTTTCAATGCATGGAAATTTTGTATTTTGTGCCATGATACATATTTTATTATTTCATTTCCCCCCTCAAATCATCTAATAAATTTGACCTTCCTGGCAATCATGCATATGTATGCTGTAACTTTCTATAATCCTTCCACACTCTCAGGGGTAACATACCCCAGTTTGAGAAGGACAATACTAAAGAAATGTGGCAGCTCCAAAAAGCAAATTGATGAGGTCTGTTCACTTTCCATTCTGTCCAACTACCCCACAACCAGATATACAAATATTTCTGCAGCAGAACATATGAACAGTCATATGGGATACTTTCTTTTTTTTTTTTTTTTTGAGACAGGGTCATGCTCTGCTGCCCAGGCTGCAGTACAGTAGCACAATCTCGGCTCACTGCAACCTCAGCCTCCTAAGCTCAAGCAATCCTCCCACCTCAGCCTCCCGAGTGGCTGAGACTACAGGCATGGGCCACCATGACTGGCTGATTTTTCTGTATTTTCAGAAGAGACCAGGTCTTGTCATGTCGCCCAGGCTGGTCTTGAGCTCTTGGACTCATGATCCTTCTGCCCCAGTCTCCTAAAGTGCTGGGATTACAGGCATGAGCCACTGTGCCTGGCCAAATGGGATACATTTTTAAAAGACAGCTCATATCTACTCAGGGAGGTTTTGCTTGAGTTTTGTGCCAAGACTATTAGAAAGCTTTCAGTTTTCCAAACTTGTTGGATTTAGCATTAGAGATAAGGAGCTTTGGATTGATAGAAACTGTATAATGAAATACAAAGCTAGTGCTCCTACATAAAAGGTATTCAAATCAAGAAGAACGGGATGAATGTGGGGCAGAGCCTTGGGAAAGACACCGTGAATAAGATGGGCACCGAGTGATGTTGAAAAGGATGGGTAAGGTGGTGGGGGAGAGGATGGGTGGAGGGCAGAAGGAACAAGAAGAGCAGAGGAATACTCATGGCAGAAATGTGGACGCGTGAAACCAGCTGTCCTCATGTGGATGGTCTGTGCTGTGCAAGAGCAGCACACACAGAGCTGAGCAGGTGACATGGGTGAACACCTATGGAGAAGCCTCAAATGCAAGGCTAACAAATTTCGGAGTGGGAAGCCAGTGGCAGTCCAGCATGATGAATATGATTCTGCAGTGGGTAATGGGCTTTGAAGGAGGCAGGCAGGGAAATCAGCTAAGAGCCCAAAAATGTATGAAGACCTGGATTAGAGCAGAGGACTAAGACTGAAAAGGAGGGGACCCTTGTTGGGGCTGATTTAAAAGAAAAGGTGACCTAAATTGGTATCTTGGTGGACTCAAGAAATGAAAAGAGAGAATAAAGTCCTTGGGGTGTCAAGCCATGAATGGCTAGGAGAATGGCAGCTTGAGTGAAAGACAAGACCCTTGAGAGGCAAAGCAAGTTTCAGAAGAGTAATAATGAAAGACATTTTCAGCTGTGGACAACAGCAGGGCAAAGATAAGCCAAGGAAACTGGACATGGATACTGAGAGAACAGCTCACACAGGTGACAATGATCAGCTCTTAGAAGTTACTCAGAGAAAGAAAAGCCCCACAAAGTCCTAGAGAATGTCCACAGTTAGGGAGTAAAAAGAAATAGAACCAGTAGGCCGGGTGTGGTGGCTCATGCCCATAATCCCAGCACTTTGGGAGGCCAAGGCAGGTGGATCACCTGAGGTCAGGAGTTCAAGACCAGCCTGAACAAAATGGTGAAACCCCATCTCTACTAAAAATACAAAATTAGCTGGGCGTGGTGGCACATGTCTGTAGTCCCAGCCACCCGGGAGGCTGAGGCAGGAGAACTGCTTGAACTCAGGAGGCGGAGGTTGCAGTGAGCCGAGATTGCGTCATTGCACTCCAGCCTGGGCAACAAGAGTGAAACTCCATCTCAAAAAAAAAAAAAAGATAACAGACATTGTATATAAATTGCAGATGGTGGTTCCTGGTGCCTTCAAGGTTGTACGTCTGAAGCCTAAAATAAAGTCTGCCTATCTAGAGGTGGCTGGTTCACGAGGTTGGTTGGTCAGTGCTGGTCACGAGGTTGGTAGTCAGTGACAGCTACCTGGAGAAGAGGAAGGAGAAGGCCAAGATCCACTACCAGAAGTAAAAACAGCCCATGAGGCTGCAGAAACAGGCGAGAAAGAATGTGAAGAAAACTGACAAATACAGAGGTCCTCAAGACCATGGGCTCCTGGTCTGAGCCCAATAAAGACTTCTTATTCCTCACGCTTGGCCTGGCCTGCCCCTCCTCCATCACCGCACTGGGATGTGGGGGACCCAGGCAGCAGTCCAGGTACCGAAGGCAGCCTGGGACTTAGAAAGATGCGAAAGAGGAAAGGGCCTTAGTCACTGCCTTTCTGTAGTTATCTGAAACAATTCTAGGAGTTGTGCAGACATAATTTGCCATGACTTACTTTGTTCATGAGACAGTTTATAAGAACAACTAGTTACTTCTGTTTCAATATTAGCAAAAGTGAGCTGGAACACTAATTGAAGGGGAGCCCTACCCTGTGAATGAGGCATCTATTTCCCACCTGGTCATATACTATAGACTGCACCTGCTAGGATGTGAGAAAACACACGGGGAGGATATGAGTTTGCTGTTGTACAAACATTATTTATAGAAGCAGAGACTGGGAAAATGTGCAACCAAAGGGGTTCCAGGTATTGCCCTTGTTCCTTCCCTGTACTTTGTAAACAGAAACAAATAAACTACTTTTACAGAGAGAGACAAAAAAAAAAAAAAGGCCCAGTGCAGTGGTCCATGCTTGTAATCATAACTCTTTGGGAGGCTGACGCAGGAGCATCACTTGAGCCCAGGAGTTTGAGACCAGCCTGGGCAACATGGTGAGACTGCATTTCTACAAAAAAATTTTAAAATTTGCCGGGTATTGCAGGGCACACCTGTAGTCCCAACTACTCGGGAAGCTGAGGTAGGAAGATAGCTTGAGCCCACCAGGAGGTTGAGGCTGCAGTGAGCCATGATTGCACAAAAGTAATTTGCATGAGAGGCACATCATTTAAATATTTCTGACTTATTTGGCCTAGGGAAATTGTGAACAGAACCCAAGGGCCTATTTCACAAGAGGATATAGTTGATGTTCAGCTGCTGAAACTGTTCCATGACAGGCTGAAAACAGAAAAGTCTTAAGTTGCACAGCAGCATGATGAGGAATCTTCTGGAAATACCTAAATAGGACAATCTATGGTAAAGGTATCACTTAGGAACATATACATCTATGTCACATCACTATAGTCCTTAAGCTGGAAGGGAAGATTTAAGAAGTAACGGTCGGAGGGGAATTTGGGGGGAAGTGAGTCCTAGGTAGTTATTCATGTGTCACTAATCTAAATCCAAACAGTACTTACTTCCTGAAAATGTAAGGCTTGCCTGTATAACCCTGGACAGTGCAAGTGAAACTTCGGCCTCTGCTTAGCTTAGAAAGACAAAGGATTGTTTCTATCACACTTCAACATTATATTCAGACACAGTCAAGGAAAGAAATTAACATAGGCATCAATGTAAGTGTGTTTCAATTTTATTTCAAACTATTTCAGGATGTGAAACCCAGGAGTTACACAAGATGGGATTGTGTCACTGCCAATTAAACAGGAAAGGTTTTGATAGGGATTCAACACTGTAATGAACAAGAACTCTAGCAGTGTAAGAAAGCCTGCAGTGGCCAAGAAGTTCAGTCAAGATTAAACTGAAATAGCAGGGTGTGTGGTTAACCAATACAACCCCCCTGGGGCTGTGTCTGCCACCCAAACTTGGTGCAAATTTCAGACTTTAATGAAAATAAAACTGAGTCACACTCAGCATGAGTAGGAGCTCAGAAAATGTCACTGAATGAGTACTTATCAAAAGTTTCTGTCCAAATGGACCTAAATCTTTTGTTTTTTAAGATCAAATCCCCACAGGAAACGTTCAGTGGTGTTTGCCTCCGAAGAAGGCTGCTAGAG